AAATTTATATCAGGACTAAAATGGACGTCTCAACTAAATTGAACAAAAAATTGAAAGTATCAAGATCCAAATATGAACCAAAATAATTTGACGGAGACGACCAAAATTATATTTGAACTAAAAAAATTTATAACAAATTGGGATATAAGTATATTGCAGTTTACTTTCAACAACTTTGACGGCCGGCCTCCAATTTTTAAAAAATTTTGTTAGTTATTTAACTACCATGACTTGAAGTTGAAGACGAACAACAATTAACAAACACACTCCATATCGAAAAGAAACTGCAGCAGAAGCCAAACTCTATCGGCCTTTTTTTTCTGTCCAAGTTTTATAATAAATAAATTTAGGTATGGCATCAGAATCAGCAGAGCCAAGCTACTGTAGCGCACATGCAAATCACGTGGGTGCAGGTGATGACGCCGCCGGAGCAGCACCGGCGCCGCCGAGTGTGTGTCCGGTCTGCCGGAGAAACAGAATACTTGTGGGGGTGGCAAGAAGAGTGCCTTGGTTGGTTGGTGAAATTACCGTTGGATTTCTTTCCGGTGGAGTCCTAAGCTTGATCCCTATTAGATTTGGGGTCAATTTCGTCAATGCGTTTCGTGCCTCCTCCAATTCCTCTCTTTTGTCTCGTTTGTTTTCTGCAACCGGTGAAGCCGCCGTAACGGCTGTTATTAGTTGAATCAAAACACAAGGGTTTCAACAGAGTCCCTTTTTTACATAATAATTAGTTGAATTAGAATTATGCTGAAACAGAGAATATTCGCGATTCCATTTTTTTATTTTTTGTTTTTTCTTTTCGATGTTTAAGAAAAATAAGGATTACGTAATTGATTTTATTTCTAGGACAACCTTTCTCATTTCATGTTTCTTTTTTTAGATTTTTAACAAAATTTGAAATTTAAAATTTTGTATCAAGCTTTTATTTTATTTAACCTAAAATTTTAGAGAAATAACTAGAAACAAAAATGTCGATATATCTCTTTACGTAGAAGATGATATACTATATATGGGGAGAAAAAAATTCATGTACGTACTTGTTTATGTACACTATAATTGCCTTTATGAATAATTTTTTAATATGAGTGGATCTCACGTAATTTTTAATACGATACTGATGTGACAAACAGTGAATGGAAGGAGTATTCATATTTTCCATATATACTATATAAATAATCATTTCCTCTCTCTCTTTCTTGATTTTTTCACCAACTTTCTTGTCACTTAGGAATGTTCATGGTGCAGGCAAGGATGAAGAAGTTTTCCCCATCGTTGGCCCCATTTAATTTTATATCCTTACGAAATTTCACTCGAAATTTTATGAGGATCGAACAAGATTCTCGACCATAAATAATTTCCAGCCTATGATTGTTATTATTTTAAATAACTTCTCATTTAAATAATTTTTTAAAGTAAAATTTAGTTAAATACTCAATTCTCAATAATAATCCCTTGTTTACATTGTTAAATTCAACTCCTTTAAAGGAAACAAAAAATTAAATGCTCAAGGATTACACAGATATACACACACGAAGTGGGGACGAGGACAAAATTTCTCTCATCCTCATCCAGCTGGAGCCTAAACAGGAATTTCACGTATGCCCTTTAGAATGGTCCCAAAAGGATTCCATTTATAATTTTATTTTTTTTTTTGTAATTTAAAAATAAATTACGAATTTAGTTCATGTAGCAATAACTCTCTAACATTGAGGCTTGCAAATATGATTTTTTACTGGGCCGGCCCATGTACCAGCCCAATAGCAATGTAGAAAAAACCCTAGAACATCGTCAGCCAGAGAGAACCTGAAACTAAAATCCTTAAATCTGAAAAACTGATTCGAATCGAGGAAGAAGATGAGACCTCTAGACGAAAAAGAAACGGGCCTAGTATTCGAAAAGCTGTTCAAATGCGAATGTAGTATATATGAACCAAACTTGGTCGCTGTCGAAAAACCTGCATCGGAATTCACTCATGGCATGAGCTTCATCTAACCATCCAGTCGCTCTTGAAGACTTAGACCTTATCAATTCTTTAATATGCCTCCTATTGTTATGCTAATCTGACATAATCAATGTAATATACTTGAGATTACAATATGTATAAAGAATGAAAAATACTATAGGTTAAAACCACTTGATACTTTTACACTATATAACAATTGACCATTTGTACCTTCAAAAGAAAAAAAATTGACAATTTGTAGTTTCATTATCCAAAGATGAAAAAAGTCATAGGAGACATTTAACCAAGTTGAAACCTTAGCTTTTTTTTTTTTTTTTTTGAGAATTAAAGATTACAAAAACAAACTAAAGGAGATCCTTTTGAACTAACTCTAATATCCACCAAGAAAAACCTTAACTTTAAAAGAACTCACCAGAGACAGAAAAGAACTATTTATTAAAACAATGGTCAAAGCGAGCATAACTTACCGGTAATTGACATATATCTCCAACTAAGAGGTTATAAATTCGATCTCCACCCTACATGTTGTACTAAAAAAACGATCAATACATCTATCATGTGATTAAAAAAGTTTGATTATATCTTATTATACTTGATACTTTAATTTATATGCCTTATTGTGCCATTTCAGAACGTGCGTGTGAAGAAAAAAAAATCAAAATCACTAAACACTAAACACTAATTTAGATTGGACTATTTTAGATTCAAAAAGTGTAAGAGACATTGAAAATTAAGCGGTTTTAAAATATTGAATCTCCACCAAATATTATGATTAAAATAAATTCAATTATGTCATATTTTATGCTCAATTTGTCTTATTTTAATAAATCTAACTCATTTATCACAAACCTATTTCATTTCTTCCGACCTTGGTAAGAAAACTCTGTTCGACGAGAAATTCAATAAGAGAAAATTCGAATTAATGAACTTGTATGTATATTTATGTCTGTGAGTGTTACAATCTCTAATGTATAATTCTCTGATTAATTCTCTCAGCCGTGAACTTTAATTCAAGGGCTTGTGAGCTTGTTCTTGAATTAATGGTTGATGCCTTCAGCTTCTTGTTTGTAGAAGGATCTTTGAAGTCTTCTGCTTTTGAAGGTTTTGACTTGTTGATGAAGTTCTTCGGATTGTAACTTGATGAAGATTTTGTGAGGTATTCGGCTTTGAGCTTATTGAAAAATCTTTGAAGTCTTCGACTTTGCGCTCGTGAAGTTCTTCGGCTTTGCAGCTTGTGAAAGTTTTTCGGCTTGGCAGCTTGTAAAGTGCTTCATCTTTGCAGCTTGTTGAAGTTCTTCGAGTATTGTTGCTTGGGGAGAGAAGATCCAATGTTCTTGAAGTCTGTTCTGACTTCTTCTTCTTTCTTCTTTCTTCTTCTTTCTCTCCTTTCTTCTTGCCCCAAAATCAGAGGTGTCCTCCTCTATTTATAAAATCTTTGTGGGTCTTATTGGGTCATGGGCTTAATGAGTCATGGACTTGAGCCCAGTCTCTTCATGGGTTTTGATCCAATTAGTGTTGATTTCATCCGACAACCATAAACGAGACATGTGACACAATTTAATTTGCCGATTTAAAATTAATTTAGGACACGTGTAATCATATCCAAAATGTAATTTTAAATTGTGATATGGCACTTAGTGATGGACCGAAATTTCTCATTCAACAGACCCAATATAATATTTGAGATTAAGAACATTATGGAAACAAGAAACAAAACCCTATATATAAAGCAACTTGACTCTCCACCACAAAATAATCAATCTCCACCCAATACCGCTATGCGATTAAAAAAGTTCAATTATGTCTTATTGTTTCCTTTTTTAAAGACAACATGCGATCCATACTTTAAATTATATGTCTTATTGTACCACCTAACATTGTTAATTCATTCTACAGAAAATTTCAAGTAACTGGTTATTTTCAATGAAAAAGTCTCAGAAATGTTGAATCGAGCGAAGTCTTAGCTTTAAAATAGCTTACAAACTCTCTCTAATCAAGGTAGGTCATTTCTCGAAAAACTATATGTTAAAACAATTTGACTCTCCACCAAGAATAATCAATTCATCCAATATCATGGATTAAAAAAATGATTATGTCTTATTGTACTTAATTCTTTAATTTATATGTCTTATGGTACCATCTAACATTATTTCAACCCAAAAAATTTCGCTAACACACCAATTTGGATTAGATTATTTTTCATTAAAAAAGTTTGAGAGACAGTTGCATGCAAGAGATTGCATACCTTTTTAGGATAAAACTCTATCTTTTATATGTGTAGAGCATTGAAAATCATGACTTAATTTGTCACCGTGACTATCGTACCTGTCATTCAACAAATTTTCCAGCAATTGGAAGAATCTCTAACAGCAGAATCGTCCTCTCGAATTCTCACCAATAGAATCTTCCCAAGTTAGAACCCAATTGAGCTCTTATTCGAGACACATTGATCCTTCTTATGTGTCATTAGCATGTCCGAGTTGAAACCCAGACACATTTGCCTTTACAATGGAGAACCACATATTGGCGTTGGTTTCGACTCATAACAATGAGTAACACAAAACCTATATTTACAATTTTGTTAAAGGGAAAAATAATAATTTACCAACATGACAACTTTTTTCTCTCATAAAATGATAGGTCATTTTTGTATTATTGACAAAGCATATAGTTGTATATTTGTGCAATTTTTTAACATATTTTATAACTTGACAAATATGCTATTATCCCAATTGATAAAGTATATAGTTGTCATACATTTGTAGCTTATTTTAATGTAAATGTCTCAAAACTCTCACCACATGAAAATCGCCCTTCGTTTGTACAATGACACCAGACGAGACGTGGTCCATATAATTAAAATTTAAATTCAAGTTTTTCTGTTAACCCACAAGAAACTGGCAATAACACTAAATAACAGTGGCAATAACACCAACTTGTGATGGATTAATTTAATTTACAATAGAAAAAGCTCTCTTTAAAAGGGGCTTCACATTTTTCCTACTTCTCATTAATTCCTCTTTCAAATATTAATTATATAAAAAAAAAACCAATAATGGCATTGAGAAGGGATTCCCTGACCTTAGAGATCAACGTGGTGTCCGCTGAAGGGCTCAACGACGGCAAGGAGTCGCCGGAGATGAAGCTATACGCCGTCGTTTCGGTGGCCGGCGATGCCGAGATAGAGCAAAAATCCGAGACCTACGTGGACGCAGAAGGCGGCGGAAACCCACAGTGGAACTTTCCGATGAAATTCATTGTGGAGAAAAGCGCGGCCAAGAAAGCCCTCCACTCTGAACTTGCCTTCTCTCTGAACTGCAAAAATGGAGACTGTGAGGTGGGCCAGGTCAAGGTGCCGATGTGGCAGCTTATTATTGGACAGGCCGGCCAGAATTTTTTTGCAAACTCCTCCGATAATAATAATGGTAATAATAACATGCAATACGTTTCGTTTCCAGTGAAGAAGACTAGTTCGGGAAAAATGGAGGGGGTGCTGAATTTCGGATATAGATTTGAGGGTTCAATGGCTGTGATTCCGCCACCTGTAACTGCAAGGAATTTTCCAGTTAATAAGCCTGCAACTGATCGTGCTGCTACTCCGGTGCCACAGCCACAATCTGATCAAGGACAGTTTCACGAGGGTTCAGGTCTATTTTTCACCTTTCTTTTAAAATTTTTAGCTAAATTCAAAATTACAAAAAAAAAAATTAATTATAATATATATATATACACTTTTTATTAGTTTTCAAAATTTCCGATTTTGAAATTGTAATACTTAACTAGTCAAAAAGTAATTGTTGAAAACTTGACAAACAACACAGAACGTTGTAAGTTCAGTAAATTTAATTCATATATTAGATATTTAATAGAAATTAAACTTAAACGATAAACATAGAACCTCCTACTACGATACATGTTAACGATAAATAAATTACCACTCAACTCAAAAGTTTAGCAGTGGGATGGATAAATTTAATTCATATATTGGATATTTAATATAAATTAAACTAAATTTTAATTTCAATGAAACGTAATAATGACCTTTTCTCTTTCATATAACCAACCACCAGCATTTCCAGGGCATCCAAATTGCGAGCATATATGTTCCCATGAAATTGGACATGCGCAGCCATTCGGGCAACGGGCTAGAAAGAAAAGAGCAGCAGTGTCAAACATGGCAGCCAAGATGGCAACACTCGTCACCGGTGGGCTTATAATTAAAGGTTTGACCGGCGGATTCGGTTCCTCCTCCCAGCCTCCGCCGGATGGCTCAGACGCAGGCGCTGAATACACCCCACCAGACGAAGGCGACAACGGCGACAACGACGATGACTACGATGATTTCTGTTCGTTTATGTAACTCTATTACTAAGATGGTCATTGTTGGCAATTTGAGTGTTTAAAATTGTAAAACTCTTTTCATGTGATTGTGTTCGTGGGCAATAAAAAATTGATATTGTTTTAGCTTTTTTTTAAAAATATACAAACTTTCTCATCAGTTTTTACATTTTTCTCTTCTATTTATCAAAATTTGAATGCGGCTAATAAACACGATAATTGATCCCTAAATTATTTAGGGTTTGAATCACCTTTTGATTCTGAACTCAACTCAACTGTTACTGCTTGCTTGTTGTAATTTAATTTCTAAATATTTCTAAAGCTGTTCAAATTCACATAAACAACCTCCCGACCCCGACCCGACCCGACCCCGACCCCGGGACGCTACTTCTTCCACCTCCAAAGGAACGAAATCTATTACGTGAGTGATTCACTTGTGGCTAAAGCCAACATCGGAGATGTCGTTTTTGTACGGAAACTACGTTTTGAGAGGCGGATTGGGGAGAATTATGGAGAATATTGTATCTGGCGATGGCGTTGTAGTTTATTCGATGCCCGATGTGCCGTTATGGTTCGGTGTGGCGGCCAAGTCGATGCAGGATAGTAAGAAGTTCGATCCCAATCGAATCATGGTGCTTCATCAAGTTGATTATAGGGAGTACAATGGAGTCCTTGAGTATCTTGGTTAAAGGTATATGTCAATTACCATTGAGCTATACTCGCTTTGGCCAAGATAGTCAAATATTATTGTCAAAACTAGAGTATTTTGTGTTATCGAGATAAATGGAGGTTTAGGTTACGTAAACTCTATTAACTATCTTTAAATTATTTTATACCTATTTCACTCTAAGATAGTACAATTTGTGAAATTTGATCCAAGCACATGGATAAAAACTAAACTCAAATTATATGCATGAACTTTAAATTTTTAAAATTATAAATACAAAAATTAAAATTAGGTCTAAAAAAAGTAATAATTTAATCCGATTGAATTTGAAGATAAGTTTTAAAAGGGTGAAAAGTATATGTTTAGCTAATAAAATTGTATTTCTAAATTCTAGTTGTGTTTGGTTAAATAATTATTATTATTAAAAAAAAACAATAACCCACCATTAAATTTTTTGAAGTAGAAGATAATATAAATATAGGGGATGTTTTTTTTTTCAAATTAATAGCTATCAAATTTTTAGCACTAGCCATTCATGATTTTCTCTTTTTTATTTTTTATTTTTTATTTTCTATTTTCTATTTTCTACATTTTAGAAACAATTTTATTGATATATGAAATTATAAAAAGGTGGACCAAAACTCCCATCAAAGGGGTAGAAAAAAATAATAGAAAACCCCTCTTCAATTGGACAAAATTTATTTTTTTTATAAATAAAATAGGACAAAAAGTGTTAAATTAAAACTAAACTTCAACTATTTAAATGATTCGCAAGAAAAGCGATCCTTAGAATATGATTATATAAATAATAGAAAATAGTGTCACTTCCTATTTCCTTTTTTTGCAAGAGTCACATCATATTTCCATTGGCTTAGAAATAAGGTAACTTAAATATTAAATTCATTAAAAATTGAAGAATGAATTGATGTTTCAAAACTTTTTGAATTAAAGAAAAAAAATGTAAAATTCATCAAAATCAAAATTATATTTTTAGAACTTTTATTCAACTTATGTTTTAAAATTATTATTTTTCAATCTCTGAGACATCAAAATCAAAATCTCTCGTATGTAAAAAAAATTAATAATAATAAAATAAAATTTGTTGATGGCGAAATTTGGAGAGGTCCACGTAAGTGTCTTTTGAAGGGGTGACCATTAAACAAATGAGTGTGCAACAATGATTCTTGACACCAGTGCAGGGCACCACCTAATACTCTCCGACGATCAAGTTAGTAATCGCAAGGAGAGGAAGAACCATAAGCAATTTGTTATATTAGCTAGTGAATTTTTCACTTAACGTCCTAGCAATTGTGGTATTTCATCCCTTTTATAGGTGTTGAAGTCAATCAAAGAGGACGCTTGGTGTGTGGCGTGGTGGGGTCAACAACGTATGAATTCTAACGGACCGTTAGAGAACATTTGTGGCACCTGGTAGCTTCATACACAATCCAACGTGTATTATTTATGCACGTGGTTCAAACACACGGTCTTTAAATTGGAGATATGTGCCTTAATCGGTTGAGCTATATTCAAATTGGGTGTACATCAATTATTAATCCATCGTTAAATTCACTCAAACCTACCAACGAATTTTTTTGACATTTTGGAAGCTTAGAAATATTGGCATAAGATGCAAGGGGAAAGACTAGTATAAAATTAAAGTCAACTTTTTTTTTTGTGAATTTATGCACATACAAGCATAATATAAAAGATTACAAATGTCACATCCAGTAAAATTGCATATCGAGAAAATTGATTTCAGGTATTCATTGAATATAATCAAAATTTTGATGATTATTATCTTTTTATGTATTATCCTTTTCATTTTCATCATGAAAGATTTAAGGTATGTAATCTCTTTTCCCAATTTTGTCCAATCAAAGGAATATATCCTTCATTCCATTGTTTACTACTTTATTCTAATTTAGAAAGAAAAGATCAAAATGCAAATGCCCATCTCCATTACTTTCTTATTTCTTATTTCTTTCTTTTTTTTAATCAAAGTTAGGCACAAACCCTACCACTAGTTTTGTGCATTATTCTCATATATTAATGTTAATTTCATAATATTTTTGTTTCTTATATCTTTGTTTCTCATTTTCAATTTTTGAAAAATAAGTATTGGGAAACGTTCCTACTTTTTGTTTTTCGATTTTAAAAAACGATAAATTTTGAAAACGTAAAAATTAAGGACTCATTTGGTAACATTTCTATTTCTTGTTTTCAATTTTATTAAGAAACCTAAGCATTTGATAATTATGTATGTTTCTTATTTCTCATTTTTTCGAAACATTCCGAAAATTGTATAGAAATTTGGGAAACTACACAGGCAAGTTTTTGTTTCACCTTCTATTTCCAATTTTTTTCCAAAACATAAATAAATAAATAAATATTATTTTATCATTTAATGCATAATGAATATCAAAATAAATACATGTAACATAAATATATGTTGAATATTTAACTTGAAATTTCAATTTTTATATAAAATTTTTAAAGTACAATAAATGGGATGGGGGATTCGAACTTATGATCCCTCGAGACAGGTGACAATTACCGTTAAAGCTAAGCTCACGTTAGCATTTTAATTAAAATTTTAGAGAACAAGCTACTACAACAATAAGTAGTTGCCGAACATATTTATGTTTAAAAAAAGAAGAAACCATTACTAAACACAATTATATTTTTCTTGATTAAAAAATTAAAAAAAATGAGAAACAAGAAATATGAAGGTTACGAAATGGGCCCTAAGTTTTTATTAATTCCTCCTAATTTTCTGGAAAAATTCCCACATATATAGCATTTTATTTATGGGCAAAAATTCCCTCTCCTATAATAAAATATATTATGAACACAAACTTACCCAATTAAATTTTTAGTGTATTTTTAATGGCAATAATGGAGAATAAGTTCATATTTAGGTAGAGGGGACATAGTAAAATTAAAAACTCAGATACCAAAACTTTGAAATAAAAAAAAAAATTGATGTCTTTTTTAGAAATTTTTATAATATTACTTTGTTGTGAAAAGAACAATTGGAAATTTTCTTTTGAGTAAAAAATGTTACTTGAAAAAGATATTTATGTTTATGATTAGTTATAAAATGTCTTGAAACTTCACTTCCTTTGTGCTTCTAGAATCTGTTGATTAGTCCTTTTGGTATTTTAGTCCTTGCCTTAAAAAAAAAAAAATTGCACAGTATTGGTCATGTGTAATACATAGTAATATATATTTTTCTTATTACTTGAAGTCATATACAGTATTTATGTACTAAGATTATTAGGGACAGTGTTTAAGCGAAAAAATGCACAACTTTAGTTCAGCTCGAACCCTGCTCTTGCCCCGACCTGAAGCGCTAAGGAAAGACCTGCACAAAAGGATAAAATCTCCGACGCTCAAGTCAGTAAGCAGGTCGTTCAGACTCAATATTAAGTTCGAGGAGAAAAATCCTTACCTGCTGGTGAAATGAGGTCATCTATTTATAGGTTTAGGTTCCGACAGCCGGTTACCTTGGTTGGATTTGAGGTCGGACGTGTCGGGTTAAAGCAGATCGAACTCAAACACATCCTTGGAGACACTGAACGAATGCTTTAATAAGAAGTGGGGAACACTCATCTCGGAAAGGGTCCGAGATAGAGCTAAATAAAGTCGTTCTTATAATCTTCATATTGACAACAAGTCCCCATCGTCCTCGTGGCAAAGAAATATTTCTCCCCAAGTAGATAGGAGTAGAAATTTTCATAAAATGAGAGCAAAATTTTACCATAAGTTTTTATTATATAGATAACTTTTAGTATCAATCTACTGCTAACTATCATTATATTTTTTGGTTTCCGATGATAATGAATACTTGAAGATTTTTTTAAATTTATAACAACACATCAAGAACAATAAAGTTTCAAAAGTACTTCTCATTCTAACATACGTATTTCTCTATATTTAAATATATATTAGAAATTGAGAATAACTTTTTAACCTCTTGCAAATAATTTATTAAACATGAGTAAATTAGAAGAATTTTGTTTTGAAAAAAAAAATCCTCGAGATTGAGTAGAGTTCTAGAGAAGAAGCCCAACAACAAATCAATAATAATTATTTTAATTTTCACCTCTCAATCTCTATCCATGTAACTTTTGAATCAATAAGAAACCTATTGAAGTGATATTATTTCTTTTTTTTCCTTTGTTATATATTTCTATTTCTAGTGAGCGATCAAAAGGTAAGTATTCTTTATTTGTAATTAAATAAAATAATCATATTATGACAACTAGACACCTATTTTAGATTAGTTTGTATTTATCCTCCTCTTCATAAACATATTGTGAACACTCGAAGATTCTATTAAATTAATAATAATTTATCAACAACAAATAAAGTTTCTCATTCTAACACATATTCTCTATATTAAAAAATATATACATATTAGAAATCGAGAATAACTTTTTGAAATCTTTGCAAATAATTTATTAAAAGGAATGAACATGAGTTAATTAGAAAGAATTTTGTCAATTAAAAAAAAACTTGGGATTGAGTAGATTTCTAAAGAAGCCAACAACAAAGCAATACTATTTAGTGATTATTATTTTAATTTCCATCTCTCTCCCTATATATATTTCGAAAGCAATGTCCAAAATCCCAACAGCCAAAAATCCCTCCTCTTCAATTGATCAATTAATCCTCTTAATTGATTGATTTCTCTCTCTCTCTCTCGAGTCTTAAGAGCTTAAACTATGTCCGGCGTTTGGGTGTTCAAAAACGGCGTCGTTCGGCTGGTGGATAAAAACGAGGCGGCGGACGGCGGCCAGCGGGCGGCACAACTTCGCCGGAAAGTTCTGGTGTACATTCCGACGGCGGAGGTGATGACGTCATACGCCGGGCTGGAACAGAAGCTGATGACGTTGGGTTGGGAGCGTTATTACGATGATCCGAATATGCTGCAATTCCACAAGAGATCAACGGTCCATCTCATCTCTCTCCCAAAAGACTTCGCCAAATTCAAATCCATGCACATGTACGACATCGTCGTCAAAAATCGATCCCACTTCGAAGTTAAAGATGCCTAAATTAATTAACCATAAAAAAAAAACAAAAACAAAAACAAAATTCTCTCCCATCTTTTATTTTAAGGTTTTTTTGTTTTGTTTTGTGTGATCTCGCCTTCTCATTTTCGACTACAAAAATTATTCAACCAGACTGTCACAACAGCGTGACGGTATATTCCCAGATGCATATTCTCGAATATGTCTGTTGTCAGGTGTGTGTTGTTCCAGTCACTCAGGTTGATTTATATTCTCTTTCACTTTTATTGGGGTTTAGTTGGGTACTATGGTTGTGAGAATAAACAATAAGGTTGGTTTGATTTTATTTTGTTTGAGAGATGTTGTGCCTATGATGTCAAGACTGATTGTGTATTGAAGACTTGAAATTTAACTTTATTTGAATAAGATTTTATCATTTTGTCTGAAGTTTTCTATTTTGGAACATTGTGATTTGGATGTTTCTTAATCTAATATATATGTTGAGGGGGAAAAAAAAAGATAGACAGGGCTTTGGATTTAACTTAATTATTTTTGTTTCTCATTATGGGAAATTAGTTATATATAAATTATATTAAATTATTATTACTTTATCCAAAATTTAAAATTATGAGCTTTGTAACAAACTTATCCTTTGGTACTCAAAAAAAAAAAACAAACAAACTTATCTTTTTTAATAGTAGGAAGAATAACAATAATGTAAAATATGTATAGAATGGGTTACTTCTTTTTTGCTTTTATTATGTTACTTTTAAAATAAAATACTAGATCAAACCAATAGCGATGTGCATTTTTCAGAGTATTAAACTAAAAGGTTTACTCTATTAAGCTAAGTTGAGTGGTTTTGATTGATTCAGTTACACTTTATTAACAATTTAGATTGAAATAAATATTCGAATTTTGTTTTTATTTGGTCGTCAAATTTAAAAAATTCAGCCAACTCTAATTAAGTCGAGTAACGTTCAACTCAACTCACAGACCAATTAAAAACAAAATTTAAACTTTAAGTACCAATTAAAAACTAGAATCAAACTTCGAGACCAAACATTTCACTCTTGAAATTTCAATGAACGAATTGAAACTAAATTTTTAAGTTGAGACCAAAATTGATGGAGTTTTTAAACTTAGAGACCAAACATGTATTTTACTCCATAAATATTACTTAAAGTTAGGGATTAGAATTCCCTCAAAAAAAAAATAAATAAAGTTAGGGATTAGAACATTAATTTATTTTTTCTTAGGAAATTTATAACTTACATAAAAAAAATATAATTTAGTATCATTGATAAAACTAATGTAGCGATAGTTTTAATTTTCATGCAAATATTGACAGCGACAAGGCATCTGAATAAGAGGGGATCTCTCCCTCTCTCATTTCTAAAGCAGGCATGCCCTTGAACCAAAACCCATCTAATTTGAATAGATGGGTCATCTTCCTCTGTGTTCAAATTGAAGTGAAGTAATTAACCTTTTTTTTTTTTTTTTTGCATTATCGTTTATTATCATGTAATATTTATATTCTAATTTCAATTGAAAATTTTTTTTACGCAATTAGTTTAGAAACAATACCGTTAGGTTTTGGCAAAATATTAGAATTGAGGTTTATCCGAAAGATACAACGAGAGAGTGTGCTTACCAAGTAGGTAGAAATTGTCCCACGTCGAAAACTACAATGAGTAGGTGTATTCCAACTTTTATAAAATGAGCTTAGGGACTTGGGTTTTAATCACCTCAATTAAAACATAAGCATGTTACACCAGCTCTAGTTAACTGAACAATATTTGTTTTGAGAGAATGTTTTGTGTTTTTTGAGAGTGTTTAGTAATAATTTTTTACATAGTGTCCTGATTTTTTCTCCAACTTATTTGGTTAAATTATAAGTTTGATCTCTCAATTTTAAGATTGTGTCTAAAGAGTGTTGAATAAGTTCTTGGACTTTTTGTTTTGTGTTTAATAAGTTTTTCCTTAACTTTTAAAAAAATGTGAGCCTATTAACTTCAATTATGTATCTAAATTTCTAATAGATCTTATCCGTTTTAATTTTGTGCCTAATAAATTCTGATTTTTCAGATAGGTTTTAAAGATAAAAATCTATTAGGCATTATATAGTTTTAAGTTCAAAGGGTCGTCTATTAAAAGTAACATTGAAAGTTGTTAATAACTTATTAAACACTTTTTAAAGTTATATGTTCCATTAGACAATTTTAAAAGTTTAAAGATCAAATTATTTATAATTTATTTTTCCTTTTCTCATTATTTAAAATTAAAATTTTACAAAATCTTTATTGACTTTCAAATCATACTTTATTTTTTTCATAAAAGTCCGTCAAACTATTTCCTTTATACTACTTTCTTTTAGTAGTTTGGTTTTCGCTTTCAAAATCAAGAGGAAATTTGAATATGTAAATGCCTTAATAAAGAATTC